TCAGACTGAAGCAGGGCCGTTCCCATGGCCATCCCAACCTCACCGGTCCAGAGAAGAAGATTTCTCTCCTTCCTTCCCTTCAAAGGCTTTTACGCTCACCATGAGCGGCTTCAGTGCCATAGACGCCTCACGTGCCATCGACACCGCCGCAGGTTGCAGCGCCCATCTTCTCTTGGGCGTGCTCCAAGAGCACGTTCTCGTAGCGTGATAGCGATTCCAGCCTGGCAATGACCGCCTCTGGACTTTGAGACGCAAGATGAGCCACGTTCTTCGGACCAAGCAAGGACATAAGCTTAGTAGGCGCGTCCTGCTGCGCCGTGGGCAAATTCGCGAACACGGTTTGTTCTATCCTCACAGAGAATATAGTCAACCGACCCAGGAGCGGGATTTACTACGAGTGCTACCTAAATGCAGCGGGGCTGCCGAAGCTTTAGCGACAGAGGAAGACGTTCGACTCAAAGCGTCACTAATACTAAGCTTCTTGTCCGAAGGACACTTACCGCCCACGTCCAGGGCTCAACGTTAATACCATAACTTTGTACTTCAAGCCCAGAAGTGTTTCATTTACTATTATTGCAGCCAAGCCGCCTAGGTGTAAATGTTTCTGTTTAGCTATCTAACAAAGTCAAATCTAATCAAATGCATGACTTGTGGCTTTCAGCCAGCGTACTGAGAGGCCTTGATAGCTCTCCGATTATGTACTAAGCGTTTCGTACTTCGTACCCTTGTGTGCGGTACACCATGTAACCCCCTTACACCGTACGTGTCCACACCAACCTGACTGTCGTACGACAGCGTTGATTTCGAAAACCGACTGCTTGGTGGCTCCGCTATGCTCACATCATCCTGGCTGACCTGCTGGATGACGAATCCTTCGACCAGCCGACAGTCTTGAAGGTGCCTTGCTGGCCGTCTCTGGTAGCAGCCTCCCCGGCCGGATCTTGGCCTTCTACTCGGTGCACACGCTACAGAATCTTCAATATGATCAATATGGACCTATTAGTTTATGCCATTCATCGACACCAAGTCCCAGGAGGCACGGGGGGAAGAGCTAAGTTCTGCTGTGCCTCGAGAAGGTAGAGGGCAACGCAGATCAGGTCCGAAGAGAGCTGAGCTTTTTTACGAGAAAAGTGTGTGCAAGCCAAGCTTGCTGGTCGCTCAAGCGAGCGCGAAGGGCTTTGCAAAACCGTGACAATGCTTGATTGACTCGGGTGCCTCGGGCAACTACGCACGTTGCACTACCCTGGTAGGGAGTCAGCTGTATGCTGAGGCACTTGAAGTATCAGCGAGAGATACCATCTATGTCCGTCTCGCGACGGGGACACTTGTGACTATGTCGAAGGTATTTGTTGACCTTGATGTGAAGTTTGAGAGCTTCAATAGCGTGGAGCCTTAGACTTGGATGCGAGGTATGCTCTCATCCTTGGTATTCCCTTTCTTAAACCCCATTATCCATGGATCCACTGGAGGACAAAAACACTAAAGGCTTCGCACCCTGCTCCTAGTGGATCTTTGGTGATCCATGAGCGCACCTCTGCTAGGAAGCAGAAGCGCTTTTGGCGCGAGCACGATGTCAAAGCGGCCGTAGTACTGAACATTGGTATGTCAGAAATTGTTAGCAACGAGGTTGATGTTTGCCCAGAGGGCGTACGTGGTGCGACACGTTATCCGCTGAGCGGTGCAGATAAGGTCAAAGACCAGCTGCTGGGTCCTGGTGGATCGAACGCGGAGTGGCGTGTATTCACTGAGTGGTACGGATCTGGTCGTTGACCTACCGCTGCGTGGCCCGAGGGCCGCGGCCCAAGAGATGCAGGTGAAGTGACAACTAGTTCACTGTTTGATGGTCAAGGACGTCTTGGTTCTCAGCCGAGTTTCTTGCGAGACTCTGTTTCCTTTTCGAGGAGTGATGGTACTGCTACACCCGGTGGTGGAGGTGGTGGAGATGTCGCCACACCGCCCTCATTCGACCGGGCTCGGTCGACGAAGAAGAGGCGAAGAAGACGCAGGGCGTCTGTAAAGGCTTTAACGTTGGACGAAGTGTCCAACGTGACGAGCAGTGAGGCTCCACGTGATTGCTGTGAGCAGCGGTACATACTCGTCAATGGATGGACGGGGGAGGTCGAAGGTGACACCAGCCTTGACACTCTGCCCGCTGTAGCGAGCTATGCAGACAGACGAGCTAGCCGAGGTGGACCAGCTGAGACCTGAGGTAGTGTTGACCTCCTCATCCGTCGTGAACGACGCGGTCCTAGAGGACACCAAGAAAGCGCTAAGCGCAAGAAGTGGGTCGGTGAACCTAAACGATCCTTCGGATCCCTTCTACGCTGTGGTGAAGGGGTGTAAAGACGCTGTCTCGAAAGACCTACCGACGGGCCTGCTTCCGGATCGAGGCGTGTGTCATGAGATTGACCTGGTTCCTGGAACCAAATACTGCGTGACAAGGCAATGGATTTTGCCAACAGAGCAGTGTGACGGCATTGACGCAGTCTTCCGTGCGAAGCGCGAGGCAGGGATGGTGCGTGAGAGAAAGATTCCGCACCCGACACCCACGTTCTGTGTCAGAAAGCCGAGCGGCAAGTGGCGCATTGTTCATGCTTTCAACAAGCTAAATGCAGCCACCAACCCAGCGCAAATGCCGATTCCTCGCAAGGATGTACTGCAGAACAACATGATTAGTGGTACGCTGTACAGTGCACTCGACTTGGTCGATGGTTACTACCAATTGCTCATGAGAGCGAGTGATATTCCTCTGACAGCGGTGAGTACTCCGTGGGGTATGCTCTGGGATTGGCTGGATCGTGTATCCGCCTAGCGTTCATGCCGCCTCCAGAGTTGAAGACATAGTCGCCGAAACCAGCAGAAGAGAGTTCGGATCAGATTGCGGCACTACTTCAGCACGTGAACAGCAGACAGAGAAGATATAAGTGCTTATTCTACAAAACAAACGGCTAGAGAGGCGACTGTTACCAGTAGATCTTCACATGAAAGTACCTTGGACCACTCCATCAAACGAAGGCGCGTCGTCTTCAACAACAAATTGGCAGTCGACAAGCCAGCCAGCAGCAAAAGTAGCTCGGGCAAAGAAAAAAGGGTCACGATCGCTGACCGCAAGATGGTTCGAGTGGTTCGCAACCGATCCTCGGGTGTATGCTTCTCGGCTGTGAAAAAGACAACGCTCTACGAATTTAGATAAAGCACGCACAAACGCTCTCGAATTTCTTAAGACGAATGGGTCATCAGCGATTGCAGCAGGTACTGCAATGAAGGCGTTTCGAAAGCTTCATAACAGGGCTAGTTGGATGCCCAGATCGTGCAGCTTCATGAACTTGTCGACAGCGGCAGCATCGTAGACCCCACACCACCTTCCGCTCTCCCAATCTTTATCCGCCTTTGACCGTCTAAATAGCCTATATTAGGTCGCATAATGACACATAATATAGTATAAATCAAAGACGATGGCTGGAGTTGAACCAACGAGCAGCGGTGCTGTTCGTTCCATCCGGAAGACATCACCTGCAAGCGTATAGCCGGCACCATATTAGCAACCGCCACGAGATCAGAGGAGGGAGAATACATCCTTAGGCCAGGGGGAGGAGCGAAAACTATCGGCAGCAGCATCCCGCCCGCCCTACCGGGTAGTTTGACATCACACGGGCGCTCCGGGACGACAGTGAGGGTAGTAGCAGCAGGTAGTGGTCCTTAACCGACAGTATATCGCGCGTAGAGGTCCATCGGAGGCGTTCGGGTCCCGGGGGGGGGGGGGGGCAGGCGACTTACGCGCCATCCAAAGCGCCGTCGCTGTGGTGATTGTATTTTGAAAATGCCTGTGCAGCCTGAGAATGCAGGGATTTTGTATTTAGATTTATTATGAGTATTCCCGCGGGATGTCCCATGGGTAGCCCAGCTGCTCGTGGGTGTATGTACTACATACTATGTAGGCCGAGAAGCTACCATACTACAGTCAAACCTCTCTAAATACTGTATTCATTTAAAGAAATGGCCAGTTATAGAAAATGGCTACATCTAGTGAAAGAAGCAACCGTGACGTTTGCGCCTGTGTTTTACGACCTGAATTCTCACTAACGTCGTCAATGACTTTAACATTGCTTGTTCATGATCTGTATCCCTTTCACACTGAAGTAGAAAATACGAAAGCTCCATGTAGCAAGCGAGTACTGTCGATGCTAGAATAGGTGGGTCTGGCACTATCAGCTTTAAGTTGTAAGCGCTTTGGCGGGAAATCGTTGCCTGTTTTAAATTTGTGCTGCTACGCCGTCAAAATTCCCCGGGATTCCAACCAGTACGTTTGGAATAAAATCGGACTTAGCCGTGATCCGTTTTGTTTTTTAATCAGATCTTGTTGAAAACACCGTATACTAATAGTATTGTTCGACGCAATTGCACACTTACTAAAACTAAGATGGGTTGATCCGCACGTGCATGCTCCTTCGGAAGATCGCGGGATCCACATCAGTAATGAGCCACCGCCCTTACCGGGCAAACCAAACAGACCAGGACGCCAACGATCTAAGTACAGAGTCTTGTCCTCCAGCTCCGGGAATGTAGCGTCCCACGTCGTGACATCACCAGCTCCAATGTCGACCTTTGTATATCCATCTCCACCCGAATGGACTACAACCGTCACATCCTTGGTATCAACACTCTCAAAAATGAGGTGAACAACGCCATCACCCGCGTGTGTGTAGGAGCCGTAGCTACCTACAAATGCTTCATCCACCGTCTTAAGTCCCAAAGCGTCGTGTAATGTACCATCGTCAATCTCGCCCACATAAGCGGTAGGTCCGCAAATGGGCTGCACGAATTGTGAAGCCATGTACGCGATACCTGTCGGGTCGATCGTTGAGAGCACAGCCAGACCCATATTGGCCACTTCCAGCATAGAATCGTCTTCTGCCACGTCTTTGCCTTTGTCTGTCTTGCCAGTTTCAATGAGCTGATCAACGATCACTCCAAACGTCTTTCGCAGTAGGTCACGCGTCTCATACGCCGCTGTTCTTTATTTCGAGGCCAGGAGTTCACCCATGCAGTTGTTCGTGACAATTGGGATATCGTTCAGTACAATCGACGACTTGTACACCTTCACTCGGATGTCGTCGACCTCACTGCTTGCATTGCGATATTTGAGGACAGCGCGAGTCACGCGATCCGTGAGACGCTTGAGCTCCCAGCCGCAACTTGAGTTCTTGGCTACTAAATCTTCGAGTTCATCCACTGTAGTCGAGGACTTGTTGGCGATACCGTTGCCCGATAGTAAATTCATGACATTGGCTCCCGTCGATACGATCTCGTCACCATTGGTGATAGCCTGCTTCACGATACCTTCCACGATCACCAACACTGTATCGGCAAACTGAGCGTTCTTAGGGACTGGGAGTCCAAGACAAGTGCAAATGGCAATGGGGAGGTCATACAGAACGACGTCAGCTTGGTAGGCAGCCGTAAGCATTTCGGCTGTGTCACCCACGGGAGCTGACGTTTGACGGTAGCGAAGATAATACACCAGCCCTCGGATCACTTCCACAAGATTCCGAACGCACAGTACTGCCCACTTAGCGATCTTGTACGCCGCCAGAATTTGACCAAATACACCGCCGGTGGCAGCATTCAAAGCCACCGCGACGACCGAGCCGATCTTGGCGAGAGCGGCGAGGACGCAGTCGTCGTTTTGAGGAATACACTCCAAGCCACACGAAATCGGGTACGACAACGGACACCGCGCCGCGCAGTCGTCTCCATCTTTGCTGTACCCCAATGGACAAATGTTTTTGCTGTCGAAGGGCATGGACTTCCGGTAGCAGGCGGTATCACTGGACTTGCCAATAGTTGGGCCCACCCAGTTACGAATCGTCGTACCGTAGGTGCCATTACCCACGCCCGATGGGTCGGTAAGTGGCACATTCTTGGCCGTCTTTCTCGTCCAGATTGCACCAATTTGGTCCACTTCATCTGCAGCACGACCGTAGAATCCACTGAGCACGAAGCCCTCGGGAGCTGTCGCATTCCCAGAGTTGCCAGTCTTGGTTCCCCCCTCGATAGTCTGACCAGCAGTCGTCGTGAAGCTGATGTAAAACACACGAGTGTGTTTGTCCTTCTTGTCCCAATGAGCTTCCATGGAGGTGATGAACTCATCCGCCGCAAGCGTGATGATCTTCTCGGTTCCGCCACGTCCTCCATGGTTCAGAGTGAGCTCCATGGGTGCTGCAACTTGCAACGTCACGGCATCCACTCGCTTGTTCGATCGGAGCGTGATCGAGCTGATCGTTTGTCCAAACTTGATCTCGTTGATATCCGAGAGAACGCGTTGCCGTGTGGTCCACCAAACAGCTCTCCCAGTGCGATGTCGCCTTCCGCAGAAACCTTCACCGTGCTGCTGGTTTCATTGACCGCTGCGATGCTCGACCACACTGCACCAATAAGGTCCATCTCATCACCGTACCGCCCAAAGAAACCGGCAAGCTGGTAGCCCCTGGGCGCTGTCACCGATCCCTTCTCCTTGGTCTCTGATCCACCCGACACTTTATTGCCCTTGTTCGTTACCAAATTCATGTAAAAAATGCGTGTGTGACCGCTCTTTTGTCCCCAATGAACATCCATCGTCGTGATGTACTCGCCACGTTCAAGAGTCAACGTGTTTTCCTTACCGCCAGTTCCTCCGTGCGTAAACGTCATCTCCTTCGGCGCTGCGACTTGCACGGTAAGGCCGTCTAGACGCTCACCAGCTCGTATAGTCACCGAGCTGATAACCATACCAGAGGTACACGCCAGTTGATCGGAGAACTGTTCACCGTGTGGTCCACCGAAAGAGTCACTCAGCTGCACAGGCCGTTTATTCGCCTTCGTGTGCACTTCCGACAGACTCCCAGCGATGTCTTCTGGAGCCACAGTGCCCGGGGAGTCCTCAATGGTAACAGGAGCTGGCGCAGGCGTCGGAGCTGGCGTGACGAGATCAATGGACGCCCAGACGGCACCCAGTGTGTCGATCTCCTTTCCATCTTTACGAAGAAGCCTGCAAGTTGGAATCCTTTCGGTGCAGTCACTGTACTCTTGTCGTCCGTCATCGACCCGCCAGACAGCGAGTTGCCCGCGCTAGTGACGAAATTCACATAGAAAATGCGCGTATGGTCGTCTTTCTTGCCCCAATGCACCTCCATCGACGTGATGTACTCTTTGTCGCCCAGTTTGAGCACTTTGCGGTCACCGCCAGTTCCTCCGTGCGTGAAAGTCTGCGTCTTGGGAGCCGAGATGTCTAAGCTGATACCATCAAGTCGTTTACCGGCATAGATAGAGACCTGACTGACGGTCTGTCCAGAGTTGACGTAGTTCTTGTCCGAGAAGTCCCTGCCGTGAGGCCCACCGAAGCTTTCACTCAGCACGATGGAGTCCTTGACACTCATCCCAGGGGCTTCCGTTCCTGCAGGAGGAGCCACTTGTGCTACTCCTGAGCCGGCTGGAGCCTCTGCCGCCGAGCCTTTATCTGATCCAGGTCCAGAACCTGCTGTGGAGTCAACGGCAGAGCTTTGTGTCGGCTTGTCCGCAGACCCCTCGCTAGATGCTGCTAGTGAGGCTTCGAGTGAGGTCGCTGCCGAGTCTGCTACAGAGCCGTCGCTTGACGTTACTGCCGGCTTCTTGTTAGTGACGGCTTCCGCAGAGCCAGACGCATCGTCTGAAGCTAATGCGGAGTCTTCGGTCGACCCGATTGCAGAGCCATCATCGGATGCTACAGCTGTCTTCTCCTTCTTAGTGGGAGGCTCAGCAGAACCAGACGTATCGGTTAAAGTTGATGCAGCGTCTTCTGCAGACCCGCCACCAGAGTCTTTAGAAGACGCGGCTGCTTTCTTCTTCTTGGTCGGGGTTTCGGCAGACCCGGAAGCTTCAGCTGAGGCTAGTTCAGGGTCCACAGACCCGTCACTCGACGCAACCGCAGTTGCCTTCTTCTTCTTCTTAATGGGAGTACCAGATGAACCAGACGCATCGCCCGACGCACGTGTAGAGTCCTCGCCGGACTCGAGTGCAGATCCTTCGTCGGATGCTACAGCTGTCTTCTTCTTATTAATGGGAGGCTCAGCAGAACCAGACGCATCGGTTAATGTTGATGCAGCATCAGAGTCTTCAGAAGGTGCTGCAGCTTTCTTCTTCTTGATTGGGGCGTCGGAAGATCCAGAAGCATCAGCTGAGGCTAGTTCAGCATCCGCAGACCCGTCACTCAATGCAATCGCAATTGCCTTCTTCTTCTTCTTCTTTATGGGAGCCCCACCAGAGCCAGACGCAACGTCTGAGCCAAGCGCTGAGTCTTCAGTTGATGTTGCTGCCACTTGTTTGGTGGGGGCTTCAGCAGAGCCTGAGCCAGCAGCTGACGCTAGCGCAGAGTTCGCTGGAGTAACAGGTTCACCACTACCGGATGCGGCTGCAGATACTGGAGCTGGTGCTGGTGCAGGAGGGACCAAAGTGGGGGCTGGAGCAGGAGCTTCGGCTGATATCCGCGTCCAAATCGCACCCAACTTGTCGATCTCGTTACCGTCCTGTCCGAAGAAGCCTCCGAGCTGGAAACCTTTCGGTGCTGTCACTGTGTTCTTACTCTCCGTCTGCGAGCCTGCCGCTACCGTGTTGCCTGCGCTCGTCCCAAAGCTCAAGTAGAAGATCCGCGTTCGACCTTTTTTCTCGCCCCAATGCGCCTCCATTGAGGTGATGTACTCCTCCTTTGCGAGCGTCAGAGTGTTTGCTTTTCCGCCAGAGCCACCATGACTGAACGTGGCTGCTTTTGGTGCTGTTACCTCCAGCGAAATGCCGTCGACTCGTTCACCCGCGCGAATCGTTATCGATCCAATTGACTGTCCTGCCGCAACTGATGCTTGGTCCGAGAATTCATTTCCATGCGGGCCGCCAAACGCCTCGCTCAACTGGACCGACTCATCGGCCGAGAACGCCCCGGGCAGGGCCACGAGGGTAAGGCAGACGAGTGTCTGAAATAAAACAACTACCCACGCGCGGGTTATCATACTCGCGACGCTGAGTTTGCTGAAATGGCACGAAGTCGCGTTCATTGAGACTATCGGCCATCATTCGGGACAATCGGTTGTTTACGGCACAATTGAGCGTGGAATTGAGCTAGTACACTCCGAGGTAGTACCGTACCCCCTTGCTGCCGAAACCCTAGGCGCTCTAACGTGTATCTGCGGGTAAGGGCTAGTATGCAAAACAATATATAGTTTGGTAACGTGTATATGTGATAGAATCATGCTAAACCTAAACATCGTGAAAGACATCTTTCACTATGGTATATGGTCCGAACTGACGCCTGAAGTATACATGTTCGCACTAATAAACTATATGATGAGCAGCAAAGCGAGTACATAATTGTGACAGAGTCGTTCAATTGCAGAGCAGACACGTGCCCGGAAAGTGCATAACAACGCCATCACAAAACATGTGCAGCGGACCAGAATTCTGTGATATTGGTAATACAAAAATCAAATGAAAACGACAGACGCAATTGATTTTCAATCCGTCGCCGCTGCGTTGGTTGAGCGACGGGCGCGCTTCTGCTGGCAGGAGTTGCTTACAATAGACTCGTTACTGGAATCCTCATCGCTGGCACTGCCTAGGGCCGGATGTTGCGCAGGAGCCCGTGCACGAATCGTCCATTTGACCCCGCGCTGCGGAGCAGGTGCCAGGGCCCCATTGCGCCACGACTTGTGCCAGATGTCGAAGCAGGAGAGCAGCTCGCCCTTCAGGGTGTGGCGTTTCTTCTCGCACAAGAAGACTTGCCAGGCCATAGTTTTCTTGGACGCCGTTTGTAGCCTGCACGAGCTACAGTAAGTCGACGAATCACCGCCACGACCGGTCCCAGTGCCTTTTAGCAATGAACAAACTTTGCAGGCCCTTGTCCGTCGCTTCCGCCCTTGATTGTTGTTGCCTGGCCTCCACTCGTCGTTAAGTAGCGGCTTGTGGCTCCCACGGTGGATTCTAGCAGCATTAGTATCCTTTGAAGGCGTTGCTTGAAAGGTCTCGTCGGCAATAAGTCCTTCCCAGTCTTCATCTCTAAGCTGGAAAAGCTCGAGGTGAAGTTGTTTCAAAAACTTGACATGGCTAGTTTTGGGGAGATTGGAAGCTGCTCGAGCAGCATTGAAGACGATGTAGGAGTTGATAATCGCTAAATCAACGAGGCCTAGGAACAGACCCTTGTAGTACTTCTTGTATTTGATGCATAGCTGCAACGAGTATCTGTACCATGTACCATACACGATTAGGCATTCTGAACTTGCACATACAACATAACAGACTTACCGTTGTAGACGTAGCTGGTCGTGGACATCGACGCCACCCATGTACGTCTGATAGTCCTTCACAATGCGCGGGCGGACCACTTCGAGCTGCTCTCCTGTCAGCTTGTCCCGACGTACAATACGATCTGGCTGCACACTCCCGCCCGTACTCAGCATGTGAACGGCCCGTGTGTCCCACCAACGCAGCACACGCATCACAGGTACCGACAGGGGCTCAGCCACGATGAACGTGCCCCGCTCAATGTTTGCTGGTCTGTTCTTTGGAATCTTTGGTGGTTTCTTCTTGTCTCCAGCCTGTTTCTTTGGGATCAGCTTTGTACTCAGTCCTTGGCGGTCCGTCCGCACCGTACCAATAGATTAGAATCCCATGGTCAGGAGCTGCATTGATAGCGGCACAGAAGAATAAAACCGGTCCATGACAACGAGTCGCACTTCTCCATTGGGTGGTGCAGTAGGCCCAAACACTTGCTTCAGGTTGCGCACGACGGCAGCAGGGCCAGACTTTTGGTCAGCGGAACTTCCCTGGCCCGATCTCTCTTTTTTTCCACAATACACTTCAAAGCTGTATCATACAATATAATAGAACACAAGCTAGTATCATACACGATAACAATACTTTGGAACCAAAAAAAAAGCAGGCGTGCCCGGAGGCACGCCTGCTACTCACCGTATACAATATGCTGAATTGGAGCAGCACAACATGAACAGCTTCGTGCCTCACTTGTGGGGCTTGTCCTTGATGTACACGCGCATCCTATTGAACGTGGAGCGGGACGGCAACATCGCTTCGTCAAACGCCATGATGGCCGGCGGCGTATATCCAGAAGCAAACCGATCTTGAAGTGCGTCTACGACAGGCCTTAGCTTCCACGCGCGATCTGTCGCCGCTCTTGGGTCTCTATTACTGCTGAAATGCAGATTCCGGGATATATGCATGAATCGATCGCGCGTCATAAAGCGCCCAAAGCACCCGCGAGGAATGGCGCCTTCCTCTCTCGTTTTCCAATGGCTTGCTAGCTTTTCCTTGTTTGGAACTACGGATCGGGCCAGCAATAGACCAATGAAAACGCACAGCTCTCGCGCCTCGATAATTGGTACCCTTCGGACTTCTTCACGGATTTCTTCTACCGACTTGGCTTTGAACTGTGGATGCTTCAATTCCCGAGCGAGCTGCTTCGCATGTGTTCCTTGTACACGTTCATCAAGACTAGCTTCGAAGTAATCGTTGGATGCAGCAGCAATATCCTCCCACAACTGCGGTTGAAGGAAATAGAAGAAAGCTCCGGAAGGGGTTGCAGCTGCGGCCAAGGCCCGTGGGGTAGGTCCGAACGCACCATCGTACAGTTGCGGGTAGTCCTGCCGCAATGCTTCAGGCGAACGCGACTCATACGGCTCTTGTAGATACGTATAGGGTGTATGCGTCGTCAAATCCGACCAGCCATTAACGCCGAGCTCCTTCAAATACGCATCTGGTACTACTCCCGGTGCAATGCCATCCACACCACCGAGTGCGGAGAGTAATTCGTCATCAAATTGCATTCCGGGGGGCGCAGGTTCTTGTGCCACGTCATCATCAATGGCATCGACAAACTGGTCGTCTTCGTCTCCATCATCGTTCTCGGCGTCTGACTCAAATGTTGCAAATATGCTGGGGTCATCGTCGTTTACAATCTGATTCACATCTTCACATACAGCAAATAGCAACGATACAAGTTAGTATTCCTGTATATCATGTACATACAAGTTACCAGACAGACCATTATGCCGCGTGTCTTCCTTCGGTTCTTCTTCCACCCCAGATTTCCCCGGTTGACCCACACTACTTGTAGACTGATTAGATTCTTTGTCTATCTCAACTTGATCACCAGGTTGGTTGTCGGCTTCGGGATGATCCGACGCATTGCTGCTCAGTTCGGCTTCTTCAAAGTCTGGATCCAAGTTTCTTTGACTAATCGGAGAGTCTTCAATACAATAAGACGCCACATACAAAATTAGCTCAGTCCAAACGTGTATCATACCAGATATTACCTCCTGGGCTTTCGATGGGATGTTCACTCTTGCCGCTGGGAGAAAGAGCTGTGGCCTTGGGTAAATCAGCTTGTAGTGGGCTCTTTGGTGGACGTGAAGCAAGATCCGGTGGTGTACCGGAAGACGATGGTGGGGTCTTGTGTGACGGACTTTCGGCACATAGACGAGCTGGGGTGGTCTCGAGAAGTTGCCGTTGAGCGGGTGCGGGTGAATGTAACGGGGGACTGCCATCGGATGGAGAAGGATTCGAATCTAACTTTCAACATACACGATTAGCAAAACGTAAACGTGTATCATACAGCTCACAGTACACGTACGCTTCGCTGTCAAAGGTTTGGCAGCTTTCGCAGCGCTTCGACGTCCAGCATTCGCAGATCCATCACGTCTTGCCTGCTTCTTTGCTCGAAGAGCCGCTGCTCACTTAGCACAGTCAGAACAGATCAAAGACATCCAACAGAATATATAGAGCAACTTAGGTCGATCTTGTCCAGGTACTTCATCAGGGCCTCCTCTCCAATAAACACGTCCTCTCCTTCGACATCCTTGATCGTCTTTCCAGGCTTTAGGTAGATAAAGTCGACCGAAAGGCCTGATGGTTTTTTTGAGGTCCAGCCATCCTTTTCCATTTCACGCCATCGCACCCGGAATGCCATTTTGGGGATGTGGGGTTCTTCGCTCGAGAGGGGAAATCCAGAAGTGAGCCGCAAATTTGTGCGGTGGGAGACGTCCACCTATAAACAATCATATGTAATTTGCTGGTTTGATCTGCACGCACTTTCTATCTGTATCTTCTATGTTGATGTGTAGTATCTGTCGGGAAAGCATGGAATCGTCACCTACCCCTATTTGAGCTGGAGTTTGTAACGACCAATACAAAAACCAAATGTAATAATTTTTAACTTGTATGGTCCACGTTAAGAAACTGGCCTTATTTTGTAAGGTCCAGGCTCTCGGGTTCAAGGGGTTAATACTAAAAGCTAGTAAACATGAACTAAAAATAAGGAAGGTGTTACGATTGATCGACAGCAAGATAAGACTTGGGATTGGGCGTGGTCTGTTGCTCCAATCGAGATTTCCGCTCTCGGAGTCTGACCGTCAGAAGTGAATTCGTGGGCAGCTGGTACAGTAGAATCGTCGCGTAGACTCTACCTCTACGTCGTAGAGTCTACGGTATTTTAATAATAGAGGTACGTAGTGTTGCACACTGAATCCGCATGAAGTACATGTATCATGACTATTGCAAGTTTCGCTAACCAGCTTATTAAAAGTAACCCTTATTAATAGTAATTTAAATTTTTGAGCACGCATCGCCACTAATATGGTGTAAGGGTGTGGTAAGATACACTGTCTATCAAATGACAAAAAACGTGGTGATTCTGCTTTTGGTCAAAAGACGGGGGTATCCGGCGCTAGGAGCGGGAGATGCACTACGCGGGTGTTTCGCAGCCGACGGATCCGCCCCACTTACAAACGGAGGAGGAGCAGAGACGCTGGCAGCACGAGAGGGTCCCGACAAAGGAGGAAGGGGATCCGAAACGGCGGCTGTCACCAGCGCCAGTCGTCGACGTGCCAGATCCCGCTCCGATAAGCCACGATCGCGCTTTAGGACCAGCTGTTGCTGCTGAGTTTGGGCTGCGGCGAGTTGATCCTGGCGTTTCGCGGTGGTTGCATCGGCTTCTTTCAAT